AGCTGGGGGGGGGTTAGTACTAAATAATCCAAGAGACGTGACGGTAGACTTCTGATTACAGTCAGTAGGCTGAATTTACTGTTTCTGAGGCTTTACTTCTTGAGTACCCAACGGCAGGCTTAGATACAGATCCAAAATGTTTGGTCAAAGTGAGGTTCAAATCCCGAGCATAGGAAATAAGCTGTATGGATCATGAGTTGTCTGCACGCGAGAGGACTTGGTACATTCTCAGACTTTTCGCTGGCATCGTCAGTGAGCCTTGCCATTCTTAGCACCACACTACAACTCGCCAAGGAGACAAGTCCATCCTTTGACCAAATGTTGGCTAAACAGTTGTGGTATCTCTCCTATATCCTCGTATCACCCTTTCACTATCACCATTTATTACTTGTTTTATAGACCTATTTGAAATCTATTCACATTCCCCGCTGGTTTCCTCATTTCTCCCACTGCCGGGAGTGTTGATCCAGGGCTGCGGTTTAATCCACAATCCTCTCTCTTCGGGTCCTATCAAAGTTCCCTCTTGCTCTGTAGGATCCTTCACTTAAATGCCCGTTTCAGTGATCTTACGCCATCGCTGACGTCATATCCGTGCTAGTCAATGCGTTATGTTCTACACTGCCTCAAGCATTCGATAGCCCCTAAAGTTCGGATCCTCAATTGGCATGGCAACCTAACTTGACGCTGCAGATTCCCTTATCGCTGTGCTGTCTGTGAACCGAGTAAATCTCGTGGTCAAGCCTTTGCTTCATGGACCACGTTTATGAACAAACTTATCTTATAATGGCCAACTTGAAATTGCCATAACCGTTTCTCCCGCTCTTCTATGACTTTATATTGCGTGCCAACCCCCAAATGTGATGGCTCTACTTGATTTGAATAGGCTCACTATAGACGTCTTCTCTTGGTTTCCGGTTGTTTCTATCTGATCTCCTTGTAATTTCTTTTCCTACAATTGAAGATATTACCTATGTCCAGTATTCTTCGTTTTGCTGATATTGCTATTCCTTGATCTTCTCTAGTTTGTTTAGGCAGCATGCTAAGTTTTTGCATATCCTGACTACTTCAAGTCTCCTGTTCATTAGGTTTTTTCAGTCAGGATATCAATTTCTTCTCTAATCTTACGTTTTCTTGCATTTCCACCATATGCAATCAGCTTTTCATGTCCCGTTGGTGCGACGTGTTCCGCTATTTCGGATCTTTCATTGTCCATGTTTATGCAGAATCTTTGGTGTTACTTGATTCGTTGGCTAATTTTTCTTCCGGTTTCACCAATATACTTCTGTTCACAGTCGCCGCATTTAATGCTATAGACTACCGAGCAATCCACTTTGTCAACCACCTCGTGGTGCGTCGGTAGGCTTGTGATGTGTTATCTTTTCTTTTGTTATCACCTTGATATTTCATTTTGTTAGCAACGATCGCGGTGCCAATTACTGATCTTATTTTCATAAAATCCAAGTTTAAATCTGTTTTTTATGACCCCTATATTTCTTTCTTTAAATTCTCTGGGGTATCCATTACTAAGACAAATCCGAGTCAATTTCTCCAACTTTTTCCAGAATTCAATGTCCGTTAATCCTAAGCTGCTGGTGATCATACTCCTAATTATTACGATCTTCAGTCCGTAGCATGCCGTTTATTAACATGAGAGCAAAGTGCAAAGTGGTCGTTCATGTATCACAAAAGCACTCTTGGTTGTAGCGGTGACTTGTCGAATTTCTTCTTCTATCTGTCCCTGTATACATTTGCCAAAAGAGGTGAGAGTGGAGATCCCGTCGGTAGTCCAAATATTTGCTCATAGATATTGCCGTTAAATGTAAAATATGTGGTACTTACTGTCGGGTCGATTAGTCATGTTAACGACTCCTTCCGTATCCGCTCTGCTTCCAGGATATCCTCCTCTCGTTCCAAGACCTCCAGCAAGTAGGTGACTGCCTTCTCGCCTGAGATATTTATGTACATGGATTGTGCGTAAAAACTTACCAACATTTCTGTCTTTAACAGGCCAATATTTTGGATTCTGTCATTTACTTTCTTGAGCTTCAAGAAAATGAACTTCGCTAGTTTGTGTGTTGCTCCATGCTTGTTGTTGACTCTTAGTCTTAGCAAATTTCCTACCTTGTGTATCTTTGGTGGTCCTGCGTCATTCTTGCTTAAAGATTCCATCATCCATCTATCAATTTTCCTATTATTATGCATTTCTTTAGCATATTTTTCAGTGTCCCGTTGAACTTCATTGTTGGAGCCTTTCTTACTATTTGATAAATGTTCTGGTCTCCTATGATACCGCCTATTTTCTGCGTGTGCTGGTGCCTGTCTATTATTACCATCGCACCTTCCTTATCCACCTGAATAACTATTTGGTCATTCATTTGTAATTTTTTATGTATCTTCACCATTTCTCTCCTCTTCACTGGCTCTTGATTGGAAAGAATTTTCAGGATTAATTCCATTTCCATTTCCCTTGTAGTCTCTTTTGGAAATTTATCCGAGATGTTGATAACTTTTACAAGGATATCTTCTAAATAGTTTTCTTTCTTACCTATTGAAAAATTTATCCCTTTTTTCAGAATATCTATCGTTTGGAATCAAGATGGAATGAGGACAGGTTTACTACCTTATTCCTAGCGACGGTTATTACAGTTGATGCCTTCAGTACAGAACCCTCAAAATTGGACCGGATTGGCTTGCTCTGTTTTACTATTCCATATCTGAGCAATTTCTTGTTGTACCGCTTATTTATCAAATCCCGGATCCTTTGTGATTTCTGATCAGTAATACTCTGGAGTCTTTGAAAATCATCCGAAGTGAGAACCCTGTCTAGATCATTCCTTTATCCAGACTTGATATCTATGAAATTAACTAGCTTATGTCTCTCAGTCCTGTAACTTTACTCTAATTCCGGAATGGAGGCGTGATGAAGTATTTCATTAACTGTGTCCGAATGACACTTCCTCATTAGGTTGCAAAATCCGGGAGCAATATCATAATGTTTGCAACAATTCAAGAAGGTCAAATGGCAGGATTGATTTACGATTGTCTTATTTGTCCGACTGTAATCTGTACATTATTTGGCAATCTTACTTCCATAGTTTAATCAAAGTTATGAAGACTATGGAAATTATTATGCATACTATGTACTACGGACTAGGTGCGTTCCTCTAGGTCTTC